GGGGGAGTGGTTACACCTGAATTTATGGAGATCGAGTCGATAGACAGTCAAAATAGTGAAAAGATTGCTGGGATATAGCTGAAAAGGTAAGAGTAAGGGTGGGACTATTAATGTGTTGACAAGGGAGGGTCCTACCATCGGATAATCCCTAGCCTTCATGGGAGTTTCAATTGACTCCCAAAATGGTTCATAAGGTTGTTAGTGGTTTTAACAATTACCAAACTATCCAGAAACATTTTCTCCGAAACTTAAAACAGTCATTCATTAATAAATTCTGTAAATTTGGTCGGAAAAAGTCTTATTTTAAGCATTCTAAGTGACGGGCAATAGTCTCCGCACTTGGCATTCTAGTTATGAAAGGTGGCAGTCAACTAGTATTCTTTTTGAATGACTTGAATTTAGTAAGGCGATAGATCGTTTTTTTCACATATATCGTGACTTCCTCTGTGGACATTCTGAAGTTGTATTCCAATAAACCCGCCTTTTCGCGTCATTTCTTAAGGGTCTAAGGTGCGGCGTTAAGTTATTCCTTATAACACGTTAGTAAAAAACAAAAGAGGAGATCGTTCTGTTCTAATTTTAGTCAATTGCAGTCTTTGAATACTCATTTATTTGAACCCGGAAGGTAGGAATATTAGGGTACTTTGGGGAGTTAACTGTTTCCCATCTATTGCTATACAGCAGGAGCCAAACATTACCGAAATAACGGAACACAAAAAAGTAACGCTTGCCGTTAGCGCAATATAGCAGGTCTATTCTGTGCCTATCCTCAACATTTTAAGTGGACTTTATGTACGGGTACGAAGAGGGGACATAATAATAGGCAATAAGGGGGGGGGGGTGAGGGATGACTGGAATGAGAATGGGGATTAAGGGGAGGGACATAGGAGGAGAAGGAGGAGGCGATAGTTCTTGATATGCAGCAATCGCGGTACGCACAGTGCGTGTGTGCGGACCGATCAATGGATACACAAAACAAATCCCCTATGTGTTCCGCCTACACACCTATTGCCTATTGGTTGTGCAACGAGGTAGCTATTCTGTTGGTCAGTAACGGTTGGGCCAGGTGAGGGTCCTCGCCGTTGTCCCTACCTGATTTTCGTAAATTGGCTGTGTGAAGCGCATCGTTTTCGAGTTCTTTGACAACAGTCAAGATGTCTAACCGACCTGGCGATATGGGAATGGATGTACAAATCAACCGTAGGGTAAGCACAGATATTTCGAATTGATCTCCATATCAGTTGTCCTGTCAGTCGTTACTTCCCCCCCCCTTTAAATTCAAATTAACACATCTTGTTTAAGAAATTATGTGTCGATTTTTCTTCTTTTTCCGCAAGGCCCTTTTTGCAGTGCAAGGTAGAGTGGCCTGAACTTTTATCCTATTTTACAGGCTCTCAAAAGGACAGTTATCTGGTTGTTTTTTTTCAATTAGTCAAAACAATCACTTATGAGTGTCAATATAAAATAAAGATTTGTTAATAGTATTTGTAAAATTAGATTGGAGGTTCCTTTGAGCCCTAATTAATAACAAGACGCGGTATTAGGAATATATAATTTATTATGAAATAAAGCTTCAAAATTTCATTATTTCATTTCAGTGCCTACAAATTACCCACGACTTTTATTAAAAAATTTCTTTTTGGCCATTAAGTTGCAATTGTTGTTTAATTGTATTATTTATTGATTAAAATTGAAGTAAATTTGGGATTATTTGATACAGTATCCTACTTTCCCGTGTTTTTTTTTCATTCTAAAGGTCGCAGAACATATACAAATATTCAATTATGAACAACAAATTATCTTGATTTAAAACCAAAATATTTTTCCTTTTATTGGTCAGACTAGTTGAGTATTGAATTAAGTAAAAAATGTGGTCCTTTTTTATCAGTTTTACCCCTTGGAAATCTTTATTTCAAATTTCAAAGGAGTTAAGATCCCTTTTAACAGTTGAATAGCAGATACGATCCAGACACCGAGAAGGAGGTTGTCCAGTGGATCAATGAGGTGACAGGTGAGAGTGTACCTCTCGGTCGTGAGAACTTCGCCGCTGCTCTCAAGAATGGTCAAATCCTTGTCAAGTGAGTCTAGTTCAGTTTGCCTGCCCATTCTCTATAATCAGCTTAATTTGTGTCAATTCAATTGTATAAATTGTAACTTATTTTTGTTAGCTGATAAACCATTGATTGATGTTTTCGAGCTTTAGAATGATGTTTCGCTTTAAATTAAAGGTTGGTGAACAAGGTATACGAAGGTACGGATCCTCTCCCACGAACTGTGAAGAAGAAGCATCCTTTCAGAGCCAACACTATGTCTGCTCCTTTCAAACAGGTGATATAGGCATCTTTTCTTTGTTTATTTTAGCATTAAGCGAATGTTCAACTTAATAGCTGAAGTAGATATATGCGTGGAGCTAAAAGAGGATAAAATAGTAATGTTTTAAGCGCTAATGCATACGATTTCTATTGGTAAAAGATGTGCATTTATTAATTTCTTGGAGATTTCAATGACTTTGTTAAACATCTCCAAAATCGTAACACTTTAGAGAGAAACTATGAATAACCTAGGTCATAACTAATATTGAATTGTTTTATGTACGAAATTAGTAGGGCTGTTCAAAATGATTTCTTAGTTGGCTAATTTCCTTCGAGTAAGAAGTGATGAAACTACATTTGGCTCTGAGAAACCTTTTGCTACCCAGGCCACAAAAATGGTGGGCAAACGAATTCATAAGTAAGCAGGGAGAGGAGAATGTTGAAGATAGCTGTAGAACTTCAGATTCAGTCATACTTTCACTGGCTCAAATTGTCGCCAATTGAAAACCGACAGTTGGGCGGCATTTAGCGTGTTATTATCCTGTTAATGTGAACTGTAATACCAAACGCAGCATAGGAAGAGGTGCAAATTAACCTTTATGATCATTATCATAACTACGGTGGGTCAACATAATGACATTAAACTAAATAAAACACATTTTTTAAAAAGCGTAAGTGAATCGTTTGCTCCTTGCTTTCTTAAATGATTCCCTTTGTGAATTTAGATGGAAAATATTCAAATCTTCTTGACAGCTAGCGAAGCCTATGGCGTACCACGCACAAGTCTTTTCCAAACGGTGGACTTATATGAAATGCGAAATATGGCTCAAGTCTTGAGCTGTCTTCTTCAACTCGGTACTGAAGTAAGCCTCCAGTTAATTCTCCAATAAAAATAAATAAATTACACATGGGTTTAGCAATGGGAGTCAAGTTAATTTATTTTCATGCGGTGCAGGTGCACACGATATTTGCAATACAGAAATCAGGGTGTAAAACATGATTTCAGACGCCCAACGTAATGAACCAATGAAAATTCTGTACAATCATGTGTCCAATCACAGAACTCCGGCGAAATGTCATTCATTCTTGGGGGCGTAAGAGTGCAACCAATAAAAATGCGTCATTAGAAATTCCTCATTGATCGTGTTTTAGTGGTGGAATACATTTTTATACACATCTTACCAGCTGTGTCAGTAATTTACGACCATCGTAAAACGAAAATAAAAAAGATTTGTACATACCTATTTATAAAAGAAAACATTTGTAGACAGAAAACAATAAAATAGATCGTAAAAAACTGGTCAAAACTTATTTGATATAGAGTTTTAAATATTAATGTCACTAGTGCCAACGGAACAACTTCAAAGGCCCAACTTGCGGACCTAAACCAACCTACGAAAACAAACGTGAATTTACCGAAGATCAACTCAATGCCTCTAAGACTGTGATTGGTCTACAGGCCGGTTCAAACAAGGGCGCTAGCCAAAAGGGTATGAGTATGGGTGCTGTGCGGCATATTGCTGATATCAAAGCCGATGACATGCTGAGAGAAGGCCAGGGTATTATCGGTCTCCAGGCGGGTTCGAACAAAGGAGCCAGTCAAAGCGGAATGGCCATGGGTGCCATTCGTCATATAGCTGACCAGAAAATTGGTGAAATGTCAGACGCTGCAAAGACCTCTCTTAACCTTCAAATGGGTACCAACAAGGGCGCTAGTCAATCTGGAATGGCTATGGGAGCAATCCGTCACATTGCTGACCAGAAGGTCGGTGAAATGTCGGATGCTGGAAAGAGCACTATTGGATTGCAAGCCGGTTCAAACAAAGGTGCAAACCAAAGTGGGCTTTCGATGGGAGCTGTTCGTCACGTTGCAGATATCAAGGTAGACAAGATGTCTAAGGAAGGCGAATCTGTCATTGGTTTGCAAGCGGGATCGAACAAGGGTGCTAGCCAGAGTGGTATGGCGATGGGAGCTCTGCGCCACATTGCTGATATCAAAGTAGATGAGATGAGCAAGGAAGGGCAAAGTGTGATTGGCTTACAGGCTGGAACTAATCAGTACGCCAACCAATCAGGAATGAGCATGGGTGGAGTCCGTCACATTGCTGATATCAAGGTCGGTGACATGTCAAAGGAGGGTGAAGGTATTATTGGTCTGCAATCGGGCTCAAATCAAGGAGCAACCCAAGCTGGCATGAACTTTGGAGCCCAGCGACACATTACCGATGTCCAAGTAGGAGAGCGCAAGTAATTTTTTCGTCATTCTTCCCTTCTTTCTTCCTCTCTGTCTCTTCTTCTCACATATATTTTCTCTGTCACGGCATGCTTCTTATTGCCTAATATTTACAATTGAGACTCCTCACTCTCCATTTCTCTTGTTTTATCTCTCCCGCCTCCTTTTTTAGTCTGTCATAACTAATTTCATCTTTTTTGTGCCAGGAATTGATGTGGCAAAACCTTGACCTATCGGATATGTCAGTATTTTCTGAATTTCAATAAAACTTATTTCGATATGCGTCATTTCCTTCGTTTGATATAGAGTCAATATATTGTATTTGGCGAACATCAAGAGGTGTAGATGGACTGCTGACTTGGTAAAGAAAGGAACGTTTTTATGGTGCTTCTCTACTAATTTTAAATTTTGGTTTGTAATTATGAGTACTTCATAATTATTAGGACATTTTTGCATTCATTGCATCATATGATATGACTTAGGTTTCATAATTAATCACTGGTCAAAATATGCAACCAGATATGTATTTGTAGTAATATCGCCAAAGGGAGGGAGAGAGAGGGTATTGTATACATAAAATGGGTGATTAATTTTTCCCCTAGGGCATCATGAATTGCGTCATAAAATGGCAAAAGCTCTTAGTCAGGAGATAATTGATTAATAAGTTGTCTCCTTTGGATGTCTCCAATTTACTGAAATGACATTACAACTCTATGTAACCGTGAATATGTGCTAGTTGCGGTTTTAGATTATTCGTGTTAAGTTATTTTTCTTGAGCCACGTGATAAGTACTAAAGAAGTATTTTCTCCAATATATTTTAATTCAAAGTTTTCAAATGGCGCTTTCTATCGGTTGCATATGATACAAAGCAATCAACTCTACTGAACGTGACACAAACTCTTCCCAGTTACTTTTACAGTCCTTTTTCCACTTAATTCACCCTAAAAAATATAATTGGTCTACATTCAAATTTTAGACTCAGCATTTAGACGATATTAGATATTGAATAGGTATCTACCTGGGAATTATTGGACCCCATCCTCATGCAACTATTTTAGTTAGGATTTCGTTTATTTTCTAATTCAAGACTAGAGTGAAATTGAGTATTTAAGAACTTATGTGTTACAAAGCCCAATTTTCACAAATGTGACAATTTCAATCATCTATATAATGAATATCGAAATATATGATTCAAAAGTTTTTTTTTCAACTCTGCATACATAACGAAGGAGTTAATATGTTCCTAAAAAGCCAAAATTAAATGATAAGAGTGCAATTTTTATTCACGCATTTTCAATGGATTGTATGACGCAAAAAAAAATAAATCGGAAAATCGCGCCATTTACTCATTGAAGTGTCACGAGATAAAAGAGAGCACGTATTTCTAATTGGTAGGTTAAGATTCTAACAGAAATTAAAAATTTGAGACAGTTCCACGCAGTCTAATTGTAGTCTACTTCTCATTAACTTTATCAGTTAATGAGAAGTGATAAGTTTTCGGTACTGAAGAAAAGGCAGTTAGAAGTAGGTAGTTTAGAAATGACGATGCAAATATTTAAAGCGCAATTCTGCATAAATGGCTAAGCCTGATAAGATAAACCAGAAGGTACTGCTCTCGTCAGCCATTATTATTAGATGACAGTACCTTCTGAAAGATACTTGAATAATTAATTTGTTTGCTAACAACAGCCTTCTTTGGAGTGACGGTCGAATTCACTGATTAATAGTATTCTATTTGTTTGAGTGATAAAGGGGTAAATACAGGAACAATTGAAAAAAATACTGAGCTACAAGGAACTATGAATTGCCACAGAAAAAAATTTTATTAGTAGTTGGCCACCTTAACATGATTGACCAAATTTTTAAGTAGTTCATCCATGGTTAGGAAGATGATCCTAGCAAGACTCTGCTATACATAGATACTATAGTGAAACTCGAGTGATTGTTTAAAGAAAAACGAAAACGGCATGATTTTTGTAATACTCGTGCTCCATTGAATCCCCCCCCCCTCTATATTTATCTAAAATCACTAATATTCAGCTATATTGTGTGCCTTACTATGCTCAACTTCTTTTCTACTCAGGCCTCTTATAATAATTAAGTAGAGTCGAATAATCACGCGGAAATATTTCCCTGCGTTACAATAATAAGAAGACTTGCATATAAGGGTTAATTTTTAAGCAATGAATTTGGATGGCACCAAAGTAATTCTAGGGCCTAGCATTTTTGCTAGCCTTGTATCATACCGAATAGGTTGGAAAGTAGACTGTTTTCTACAACAATATTAAAGAAAGTACTAATGCTAAAGTTATCAACTACAATCACGTTAACCAATTCATCGAAATTAATGGTTACGTTGTGGCGTTTGAAGACTAATTCGGTAAAGGATGCATAAGTTTTATATTTATCCGAAACTGAGTTAATATATTAATAAACTACCATACGAATGAAAATTAGCAAAATTTAAAAATAGTGAAACAAAAGATAAGGAGAAATATGTGTTCTATAATTTACGAGAATGAGATAACGAGCACCGAAAAATTCAGATAGTTATCAATAAAATTAGATAAATTTAGGTTAAGCGTTTTCTTAAGACTAAATGCTCATTATACAAACGATTAATAAAAACTTACGAAAAAAACGCTAAATTTAGCTTTTAGAATCTAAAAAATATACAGCATTAATCAAGGCATGCTTATACTGCAGTATATCAAAGTATCGAACTCTTGATATGTTGGCATGAATAATACTAAATTCAATAATATTGATAGAAAAGTCATATTGACGACCATTAAAAAATTCATTATTATTTAAAGTGTATTTATATAAAACAGAAAGAAGTTATAATTGGTCTAAGTTGATATATGAATATTATGCAAGGTGAATACCTAGCTTTCTTAAGTAAGCTTCAACATAAGCTTATAAAAAGCTAATTTTTGTATTAAATCCATATAAAATCGTGTTTTAAAATGAATTTTTATAAATATATAACTTTTGTGCAGATTTGAATAAACAACATTATAAATATTTTGTTTGATTCAGCCTTATGTCATCAGTTTCGGTTCTACCAGCGTCGGCTTGCGTTTTGCTTCTGTTACTCACTAATCTTTAATCAAATTAAAAAAAGACCAAATGAACAGTGATCCTGATTACGAAGAGGGTGAAGTTAATGATTTAAGTGACTTCGAAGAAGGAAACATATGTTGTAATGAAGCCCATTCTCCATTAGACAGTCGTTTTTGTGACGATTCTCTTTCGAGCAGAGTTCGAGGTCGTAATAATAAGCGTGACAAGTATAGAGGTCTTGATTCAAGGCATGTAGACGTAGGTAGGGGTTCACCTGTTAAATACACTTTTGATGACGGACTCTCACCTCGGCACAGGGCAACATCTCGTGGATCTCACGCTAAATCTAATCGAAAGCGGAAGAGGCGCCAACAGGATACGAACAGCATTGAAAAACCACCTCCAATGAAGAAAGAGAAATTAAAGTGTCGTTTCTACATGGAAGGTCGATGTCATAAGGTTAGGATATTTTTGCGTTTATTCATTTCTTAGGGATTGGAATGTCCATACAGCCATGATTTCTTACCTGCGAAAAAGAAAGACTTGTGTAAATTCTATGCGGTTGGGTCTTGTTCTAAAGGGCCCACTTGCCCCTTTATGCATAGCGAGTTTCCTTGTAAATTCTTTCATCTTAAGAACAATTGTTACCATGGCAATAATTGCAAGTTTTCTCATACTCCTCTTAGTCCGGATTCTCGGGCTATGCTTGAGAGATATGTTGATGAAATTGAGGTAAGATTAGCGTTATTGATGTAGTTTACCTGTTATTAGAAGAAGAAGTCGATTACAGTTGAGGATCCTGGCTTAGTCGTAGATCAACCTGAGTATCCAAATGATCTATCGTCACTTCCAATCACCGAACCAAATGGTGACGTTGATTATCGTCAAGTGGTTCCTTCTGGGTGAGTTATTAGCTGGTATTTTGTTTTTAATGGATAATTAATTATAAATCGATTATCAGTTTGCCAAATTGCTTTTGTTTGTTAATAGAAGTTTTTTTGAATTGCTACTTACATTACTTGAGTAGGCTTGATTTTGCGTTTGCATCGATAATAATTTAACCTTAGTAATAGTTTTATCGCTTCCATATTTTTCCTCATAGCTCTCCTGTGGCTCCAAATGGTTCTCAATTTCCTCTATTTCGTGGACCTGGTCCGAGACCACCTATTGAACCGCATTATTTTAGGCCTTACGGTGACGGATCTCCTCAAATACCTCCTAGGGGTTACGGTCAACCTCTACCTTATAGAGGCCCCTATCAACCCTCTTACGGATATCGACCTGGTCCTCCTCCATATCCTCAGGTTAGAGGACCCCATATTCCTCCTGGGAATCGCCGTCATCCCAGGCATCAGTTTTCCTATCCGCAAAGATTCAGGCCTTCCATGTTCAATAACGGTGAAGAGGATTTCTTCAACGAGTCCACGATGCAAGATGATGATTATCGCCAGGACACATCTGGCCCGGTAATTCATATCCTATTACTTAAGTGCATTTCAGTAGTTGTCTTATATGGGGTAGTTTTCTAAGTTGTATGTGCGTGTAATTAATTCTCTGGCTTAATATTTGCAGAATCGACAAAAGGACCAAGAGGAACATAGTAAATCTTTTGAAGCATCGTCACCTCAGGCTACATCTACAATCGACCAACCAGATATCCCAGAAATGACCGTTAGTAAGGACAACATTGTCTGTACCTCAAACGACAAACTAGGTTTTAGGGAGGCGGTCGCCACTTTTTGTTGGCGTCTCATTCCGATTGAATTCGATTTTAGCGCACGGCAAAAACCGCCTCCCGCTGCTAATGCAGCTCCTAATGATCCCCGGCTTAAGGTTCGCCCTCAGTTGCCTGTTTTGATCAATATCCCTAATGTTGTTTCTATGGAAACAAAACAAACAGAGCAACTCGTTTCCCAACCAGAGCGTAGGAAACGGCCAAAACTTGAACTTAATGAATGTGCGAACCCCTTACTAACGGCTGGTATGACAAAACCGAGTAGTACGCCAGTTGCTTACTCGCGTATTCTCGACCCAAGATTAATCAAAAGACAGCAAGTTGAACCTGAAAAACCCAAATCAATTGAGACATCTACTTCGGCTTCTAGTAACAATGATGACGACGATGATTCTTCTCTGACCCCAAAACCTTTAAGACTGTCACTGTCACCCCAAAGGCAATAATGTGTGGGGTAATGGTGTCCTAGACTATGCCAAAGTTAGTGTCCTATCGCCACTACCCATAAAAGGAAGTATTAAACGAACTGTGTAAAGCTAAGGTGTATACAGATAAAGATTATGTATTTTGTGATATTAATAATGTGTATATGTGCATAATGGTTCCTAAGTTTGGGGCTATAAAAAGTGGCTTTATTGAAATCATTTACATGATAACATGTTTTAAATGAGCAGGTAAAGCTCTTTGAGACCTTGTGAATTGTAAACAGGCATGCTCAAATTTGAAAGCTTCCGTACTGTTGATTCCAGGAGATGTACTGTTTCAAATCATTGGGTGAGACGCTAGCCTTCACGTGCCTGAAGGCAGCGAGAAAATCGCTCATCCCAACAGAGGGCACCTACAAGTACAAAATAAAATAGGAAAAACTAAAAGCAAAAAAATTAAGTGAGTTTTCTTAACATACGTCCTGCGCTGATATCGATTCAATCACTTCAAGCGGCAATCCCCTTATTGGGCCCATAGCAGCCTCTCTGCAGAGGTTTGCCACATCAGCACCAGAAAATCCTAAGAAAATTGAAAGGGGTGTTGCGGGACCTACCCTCAGATTTCGCAGCAATTATATCAAGATCATCTGGTGTTAGGCTGTGCTTTTGTTGTTTGATCAAACGCCCAACTATTTCCCTTCTAGCTTCTTCACAAGGTAGAGGCACATAGAGTCGTTTTACAAAACGTCTTCTAGCCGCTTCATCCAGTTCCTGTGGTCTGATAATTATAAATTTGAGATACAATGAAGTATATTACCTATTAGTAGCTCCGATAAGTAGCAAACGCTCCTCAGAACCTGTGGAAACGCCATCCTAAGAAAATCCAATGGAAGCTCATTATCTACAGTAAGCTAATTCCCTACCAGTTGAACAAGAAATTCGGTCTTGATGCGACGGCTGGATTCATGCTCGGTTTCACTACGTTGAGAAAGAAGTGAATCAACTTCATCAATGAAAATTACTGCCGGGGCGTGCATCCGAGCAATAGTAAACAAAGCTCTAACCATTTTCTCACCATCGCCAACCTTTGAAGGAAATTAAATGAGTGGGGGTAATTTGGCCATAAATTTTTCGTTTACCCATTTTGAAGTGAGAGAGGATGCGCTTATACTAAAGAAAGTTGATTTACTAATGGAGGCGATGCACTTTCCTGGAAAAGATAAGAATACATACGTTGTTAGGTCGGCCTGCGTTTAGGCGTATAGGAGTATTAGGCTAACCTACCAATCAGGGTCTTGCCTGTTCCTGGTGGACCGAATAGAAGTAAACCCTTGGGTGGACCACGCAAGCCGGTAAATATGTCTCTAAAGTGACCATAATGTACAGAATTAATCACCCCAATAGAAGATTTATGAATCAGTGAAAATAAGGCTCACGGTCGAAGCATAGGGAACACAACAACTTCTTTCAAAGTTGTCTTAACACTGTGCAGTCCAGCTATGTCATCCCATGTTATCTTGGTGTCGGAGTCCATAATCTAATGAAAAAAATACGGTCGAATGGGATCTTCGCGAACAGAAATTCGAGTGTTTACCTCACTCATGATGAGGTCAATGATCTTTTGATCAAATTGCTTGAGCCGTTCGTCGACAATTGTGCTATCATTAGCAGATGGGCATATTGGTTGAGGTGCTGTGGCGGTTGCTCCACTGTTTGTTGGTTGTGGTTGTTGATTCTCGTCCTTTGACCTTGCGAAAGGTGGGACGAAAGCCATTCGAGGGCCTCGACTTAAAAAAACCAATTACGATAACCACGGGTGGTTAAAGGGTAGCGCCATTGTGTTACTCACCTTCCCAAGGACTTTTTAACAACTTCTGATTTAGCGTATGGTGAAGCTGAATGTCCACCCTGTTTTTGGCTGTCTATTAGCAGCTAAATAGAGAAATCCAATAATTTTCCATAAAGAATTATCAGGCACGAAACCAATATTGGAGAGAAATATAGGGCACCTGCTGTCTTGCTGTGATGAACGTAGGCCCACTTTCGTTAGAGCTTTCGCATTTTGGAGAAGGCTAAAAATAGAAAATACTAGATCTTATGAATAGCGGGAAGTGCGATGGAGATTTAAAAACAATAAAAAAGGCGATTTATTAAGCGATTGAAAAAGTCCTTGAAATTAATTATACAACTTAAAGAATCGAAAATAGCGGTAATTTCGAACGAGATGAAACTCCAGTGACATTATGCTAGTGAATTAAGTAAACAAAGCATAGAGTCTTTAATACTAAAAATTTTAAAGAACGCATCTGAACAGGTTTTAAGGGGCTGGGTTTTTATTAATTGAATTCAACTTCCTTGCAATGGCACAAAAAATTGGAAGAAATTATAAGTAGTTAAGAATTTAATTAATGAGAAAATTAACAGTAATCTGACACTATCACAACTAGATAGCACATAAAGAATAGAGCTTATCCGCCAAACGACGACACAAAAACGACTAGTAAAAAGCGTGCGTGGAACAATGCGAGTACCTCTATTACTTGTTTACTTGATCTGTTAGCATATTTTCGCTCGTCCAGACCAATATCAGTTGCCTGCAACACGGGATAGAATCTGTAAGACATTGATTTTAAAACAAGATAGAGCACAAGAGGCTCTTTAAGTTTACTTTTGTAGAAATTTCTGAAATTTCCTTGGCAATAGGTTCTCGAGAGATTTTGGCATATTGAGCTTTGCGATTCGGTAAACTTCCACCACGTACTGGGGCTCGAACATTTGATTTCTAAAAGAGCGATTTAAACAGGGAGAACCACTCCATCTATATGATTAGCGTATAATAAACTAACTCACCATCTCGCTAACACTCTTCAGAAGCTTGCTAATACAATCCCCGACTAAAATAGCCTAGATATTTACGAAAAAACAAAGCATACGCTGATCGGCTGCAATTTTAGAGAATTTTTGTTTATCAGCCAGAGCGGAACCATAATCGAGTACAGGCTCCTAAAATGAGGTCTTTAGTAATACAGAATAATTACTTCTTTGATAAGAGAAATGATAGAATTGACATCAAGAGTACTTCTCCACTGTGGTGTTTCTGAGGTAATAATTAATAAGAGAAAAGAGAACTCACCATTTTCTTCATTTGAGACATCTCTCAACACTTCATCTGCAAAGTTGTTAGCTCCTAAGTGCAGATTAAAAAGACGCTTTAGAAAGAAAACACGAAAAATCGATACACTTGACCAGGAGTAAAATGATTAGAAAAAGGTTATCGATAAAATAGAGAAACAAAACTGTGCAATGAGAGGGCTAGGCCACTAAATCTGAATTTTATTTTAAAGATACGCTTGATACGGTTATCATCACCAAACAAGACGGTAGGAGGAATAATTCATGCTTTAAATTCGAATAGAGAAAGAAGCTACGACTGCAACAAGCGGCAGTGAAAAACCGTGAAAGCCTTGCAAATTTAAGGTAATATTCACAAACACTCATCATAAGTATTGAAATAATTCCCTAGAACCTATTCGCAACCCCAATACTGTCCTAATGATTCGGCCTTAACTGACGCAAATAGTTATTCCGTTCATTGAGCGTGAACCGACCCATGACCTCCGGCATTCATGCAAACTTCAACACTGAAGTGCTCCCTAAGAACCATACCGTGATCTCAAATGGTTTATTTTAATTAGTGGAAGAGGTCACTTAAGTAGTCGTTGAGCCAGCGTCAGTAGAGTGTATTTTCCTCGACCTTTACGCCACCCTTTCCGCACCAACCAATAAATGCATCATTAGCATACACGTAAACACGATCAGATATATCCATGCCATTTATCCACTAGTACAATTCTCTGACTCTCAGCTTCCCACTATTCCAATCCTAATCAGTTCTAATCTACTCCAGAATATCGGCAATTATAGTAACAAATTAACCTAATAGAGTTAAATCAATAATTATAGTTAACCACTAAAATTAAGAAAAATAAATAAAGTGTTGAAAGAGAGGATGGACTATTTCAAGAGACAAAGGAATGAGACTAACAGTCATTTACTCAGGAAACAAATAAGTTGATCGACTAAAAAATAACTGAAAGTCTTTCATAAAACTCGATTAATGTGGCAAAAGTTGAAGGCTAACAGCATATATAAATTGAGATCAATTAAAATGGAAAAAGAAAAGTATACTTTGGTCTAGATTACATGATGATGTTTTGCAGAAGATAGTTTTATTGACTTAGTAATTATTAAGTCTACGCCACGATTCAAGAAACTTAAGATAAGAATTTTAGAATATTGTCATAAATTTCAGTGGCCTGAAAGGCAGCTATAGTTCAGGATTACAAAATGGTAGAAAAAGGGAGTTTCATCAAATTGACATAGATAAATATTGGGATGTAATGGAAAGAAATTCACAGCACGAACCAAATAATTTGTTTACATATAACTTAAAAATAAATCATAGTAAATATGCCTACCTTTTTGTATATCGTCCATGTAATATTGATAACATTTCTGAACCTCAAAAAACGAGGTAGCACTAAAGAAAATTTACGAAAAAAATATGGCAATACTTTGGAGGTAAGTGATGAAGAACTTGGCGAATTGATTCCACTCTGGAGTTTTTCGACGAAAACCTCTTTTGCCAATCGTCGAAAACATAAGGGGTATCCATGATCTGAAATGCCCGGAATACATATTCAATAACGAAATCAATTTGATAAAAGCATTTTGTAGACACTTTCTGGCACATACCTTTGCCATTTTATTAAGCGATTATTTATTTTTTCCATTTTTTAAAACAATTCATTATTGATTAGAAATGAAATAATAAATCAAAAGGCGTTTCGACTGTAGTTAAACTTGTTCCAATAAATACACCTATTAGGATATCCAGAGCTTATATTTCATGAAATTTCACCTATAATAAGCTTTTGATTTTTATTTAAATAGTAATTTTTACATAAAGATAGTTTACGGATCAGTAAAAATGTTCAAGACCATTAACTATTTGCTTAACGATTGACAATGATGCCCAACTTATCTCAAACTCTAGCCCGCCGGTTTAATACTCTTAAAATACCGTTTTTCCTAGTATACGTCGGTTTATTATTGGCTGAACAGTCTTGTTAAGGTAAGTGTTTGTGTCCTTTTAGTTATGTCCAATTATTTATTTACTTGGAATTTTGGTAGTTTTTTGCCTTTTAATTACATACTTCTTGTATTTCAAACTGATCGTTTACACCCTTGCGCTTTCTTATCGGACTAAATATCATTATATATTTATTTGCACAACTATTACAGAAAAACTCATCTATTTAGGCTTTCAATTACCTTTTCTGTTATCGAATAGGTATGCTCGCAGAGAGCCTAGAACATCTAGGACCATCAAATAATGCCGAAGAAGAGACAAATGTTCAGCCGAGGGCATCGCCATTAATTGACACGCCCTTCATCAACGAAGAAATCATCGCTCAATTTAATGAAGACAGTGAAGGAGTTGAGGATGATGTGAAATCAGGTTCTTGCAGAGATACTATCTGCGCTTTCAGCGGTCATTCCTTCTATCGAAAGTCGCTAAGCAAACCTGCCTATTGTCACCACTGTAGTGAAGTTATTTGGGGTCCTCTTACTACTGGATTTACCTGTGATGGTAGACGATGCCATTGGGTGCTTAATCCTTGTCCTTTCTAGTTTGCAATTTCCTTGCTCACGAAAAATGCTTGCAAGATATTGTCACCGTATGTCCGGCATATGCGGCGACTCAAATTCTCGTAGGTTTTCATGTTTGTTTAGCCTTGATTTAATTGTAACGTGTTTGTTATTGGTTTAGACTCCCGTTGCCCATTGCTGGTCCGAGTTGACATTCTTTCTTCGGAAATTTTGCAACGTCTGTCGTACAAGACTGCGGGATACCCCCTCCGTTCGTTGTGAAGGTATATTCCCTATCGTTTTACCTTCTCTTCTCTGTATTCTCCCTTTCCGAAAAATAAGAACCCTGTCTGTGTTTCTCGCGTCAATGTGTTTTCTTGTTTTCTTTTTGACAGTGTGTGAATACTATGCTCACTACGATTGTAAAGAGTTTGCAGTCAATGATTGTAAACAAGGTGCTGCTTACAGACCACAGCGAAACAGGGTTGGTTTGACTAATGCACGTCTCTACGACTTTTTCCTTTCTTGCATCGCCTTCCCCCTTGAATGCGCTCGCATGTTCCGTTGTCAGGTCAAATTGTTGTATTAGCATAGAAGTCGCTTACTAGGTGTTGTCTGTTCTCTTGGCAATTCATGTTTTCTATAGCAATAGAAATAGACTTGATTTGATTTTAAATCGACGATTAGACTGTGTCATGTGATGGGAGAATCAGTGCATTGTTTTTCTTTGTCCCGTTTATTCTCTTCATTTGGGCATGGATGTCCCGACATCTGAAAGAGTATTTCACGAATTCTGCCGATCTTAATCTGTTTACGAAAATCGAACGACTTCCTTACTTAACCGGTGGGTATTTAATTACGAAACCTTACAATGGAGGCTGGTGGTGGAGATGCATTTGGCACCAATTGACTTTGCTTTATGTGGCCTATAGTAAATACTAAAAGCCGAGAACGAGTCCTTTTGCTGATCGTATTTTCGCAACAGTGTTATAATCTGATAAGCGACTATTGCTTTGCTTAATTCATCACTTGGAGGAGGAAACATCTGCCTAGGCTTCTTATTGTGAAGACAGTGGTTTGATTTTGTGGTCATGCATGCCTACTTCATCTTCATGTAGTCATTGTCCACTTAAAAGTCAATTCTGTATTACTTGAAATAGATCAATCACAATACCATCTGTAACTGTAATTTAATCAATCTTGGGGTGTTTTGTACTTCTTGTTATAGTTGTGTCTATTCCCCTATTATAGCACCCAGGGTAGATATGGCAATGAGAGCGTGTAATATTTAATTAACACTCGTTGATTACTAAATATTAGTCCACTAAGGAATAGTATGGGCTTTCTTTTAACGAAAACAATAAGGTCTCCAGTTTGATTGTACGATTAGCGTGCCTATTTGCTATTCGTTCAATAATCAAGCCTACGATAGAAAGGCCTTAAGATCATTAAAGGAAACCTTATTGATTTTTTCCCAGATTTGAGGTAAGGCAGTTTGAGAAGAAGATAATATTCTATCAGTGTTTAAACTGATCGGAAGTGAACAGTACATGTGGCTATCTACACCACTGGTTGAGTATTGATTTCGGAGCTTCTGATTGGGTATTTGAGCAGCCAGCGCACAAAGACACTTGAATCCATTCTGTTTCACCTTTTATTCGTATATTTCCCTAACCCAATCCAATGTAGTGCTGTGTTTTCAACAGCCGTCTTGGATTGTCAAACTCGAATTCGCGCATCCTTTGTTTATCAACATAAATTATTATTATTTCAAATGGCAGGCGTTTTGAATCGCTATCATTAGCCATTTAGCTGACTACGGGCTTCACAGAGGGAGGAACATCAAAGCGAGAAAAATTCGAGAGGGGGAACAAAAGAGTGGATTCACAGATGTGGAAGAGACAGAGAGACACAAAGGGAAAGAAAATGTGAGATGAGTACTGTGAAAGTTGTAGAATATGACATACAGTGGGGTGATGGTAGTTTGAAGTCAGAAGTCAACTGCCGGGCTATAGACTTTTTTGCCGTATGAGTATGCGTTGCCCAGGGTGCACCAGGTGGAGGTAAGTCTATTGCACACCATCAGCATGAATTTAATCAACTAAATATGCCAAATACTGAATCTCCCCTTAGTATCTAGTTCTTCGCTACGGTTAAGGGAATGGTGCAAATGGATCACTAGCATACTGCTTTAATCAAAGTCCATCAATGAAATCAGATTTCCTAAGTCGATTGGTATTAGTTGAAAGAGTAGTTAGAAGTAATTCTTACAGTTTTAGACTTCTTAAAATCTAACCTTGTTCATTATAATAGTCGTATTGTTTGTTGCTTTATAATCGCTCCTATTCAATCCTAAAAGTGAATATGCAGCCGAAATATCATTCAATCCTGTGAATTGGATTGTATTACGTCCTTTTTGGCAATTGTTTATAGAATACAACCAGTGCTTTCCACCACTGGCGTGAGGGCAATCTGCGATCGAACACAAAATGCTCCGTCTGCAAGAAACTCTGCACCTCTTCGGAGTGCCTCACAGGATATCGGTGTCTTTGGTGTGGCACCACGGTGAGTCATCTCTTCCATCTCCTCCGTCTATTGTTTGCCTCTATGAGGGTTTATTGTTTCGCTAACACACTGATTAACAATGACTTCATATATCATATTTCCTGATGACTTCAATTGCAGAAAAATTCTATATTTCCCCTATATTTTTTTGGCAAACCGGTATTTCATTTTGTGATTTACATCATAGAAGGGGTTTATGGGGCTTAGTGGTGGAAGCAAACAAATTCGAGACGCTCACGAATCTCTTCATCAAATGCGCAACAGAGAATTGATCAAAGTATAACATATGGCATCTTAGTGGGATTGAAGCAAGGCAATAAGGTGGCAGTTTGTTTATGAAGAAAAATGAGTTTGACAGGGGTAGCAAATTGTTTAATTACTAACGCTCACCAAGTGAGCTGAATGGTCGTTCGCAAAGTCTAGATTACAAGTTTTTCACCAGAGAGGTTGAATGCTGCAACCTCTCCCTCCCTCTCAACAAGAAATGAATGTTTTAACAAACGCTTCTGTCAATGGAATTGCCCGAGTAGTCAGTTAACTAAATATTGGGAGAAAAGCCGATCATCAAAAAAATCCCGTGTAAAATCAATTCCGCCAAATATGGTCCCTAGAGGGAAGAAGTGACGGTACAGAAAGTGTATCTAGATTTGTCCATGCTTGTGGCTGACATTCTCCGAATTCACTTTACTTTGCCATAAATTCCAAAGTTAGCTCGATCTTTATACCCCTTTAGCTATTAGAAAAAATAATTTCATTTAAATTTCATTTTTGAATATGTGGTCTTTTACCGTTTTTTTCAGAACTGCAATAATCGTCACTTTAGACTAACTACATTACCATAGAAAGAAATTAGATGACGTAGGTGTTCTCATTTTTGACGAATTTTAAAGATCATTCATTTATTTCAAACGACAGGCGTTTTTTGTAGTTGTCATCAGCCCTTTAGTTGACTTTGGGCTTCACGGAGGGAAAGAACATCAAAGTGAGAAAAAGTAGAGAGAAGGGGAATAGAAGAATGAATTATTGATGTAAAAGAGACGAACAGACGCAAAGGCAGAGAAAAGGTAGAATGATTACTGCGGATGTGGTCGAATATGACGTACATTGGGGTCATGGTAGTTTGAGTCAGAAGTCAACTGCCGACTATTTGACTTTTTTGCCGTATGAGTATACGTTGCCCAGGTTGC